CCAAGTGACTTCTATTACACATGTATTGTAGATGATATTTTTACCAGAGAATTCGGAGGTAATATTTAGTAGCCTAACTCCAGTGGGTATTGATATTTTGGATTAAAAATTTTTTTTTTCAAACAAATTGTTTTTGTTTTTTTATGTGATAAACATTTTTAAATGTCCTTTTCAATAAATTTCAGTCAATTAATGTACCATGATTTTCAGGGGCATCGATTCAATCTATTATTACGTTAACTACATAGAAAACCCCCTTTAAAAAAAAAAAACTCTTATATATTTGTATGATCTTGGGAAATCTTGGGAAATTTGTTCACCAAATCTTGGGAAATTTTTTAAAAGTGAGTGGCAGCCCTGCCCATAGTACATACCGCATTGCGGCGCGAATGGTGCGTGTTGTATAACTATACGCCTGTGCGTGTTATTCGCCGATAAATACGGTATATCAAGCGTAGTGATATTTCATAGATTCCACTTATTGTAATCGGTTGATGACACCAGCTAATATTCTTTTTATAATTGTTTTAAAAATTATTAAAGTATTTTTAAATATACTTTGTTTTATTGTTGTACGTATTTTTGCTCCAGGGGGTGGGGGGAGGGGGTTTGCTTGACGTTCCAGGGGATATAGATAGCTGAAAGAGACCCTGCCCCCGTCCGAGTAGTGGGGGGGGGGGGGGGGGCATCCATAAACAACGACACGCGTCTGGGGGAGAGAGGGCCACATTTTCGTGACGAGGGCCAGGGGGGTGAATAAGGAATGTGACATCAAATTAAAAGCGGAATATACTTGATTTTTAAAAAATGCACTTAATTAAACTAAATTCTAGACATTTTTAGCAGACAGTTTGACCACGATCTCACCTAATGTGAAGCGACGATGTGGTCGAAGCTGTAATACGCTTGCTTGTTTACTTTAATTAACAATGACAACAACAAATATTGGGTGTGTGGCCAGACGGGAAATATCATTTTAAAATTTGGCCCGCCTGCTAAAGAGGTTGGCCATCCCTGCCTATGCTCTTTTATAGTTTAAAAAGACTTCTTAAGGAACCTAGAGAAAATAAAATATTAAATGTGGTTGGCTTTATATATGACGAGAATACTCCCAAATGGTATTTCCTGCAAAAGCTTAGGTACTCCAAAGCTTTGCCCTTTTCAGCGTCTCTGAGCATTTCACAAATTGCCATTTTAAAATATTTCTTTTTTGAGAACCTTTGATTTCTTTCTAAAGTCTTCTACTTCCGATTCAATTCGCCATTTATATCTGCGATGGCGGAGTTTATAACAGAAAAAGTTAAGGTCATCAATATATCTAAAACTAAGGTAATAAGAACATGTTGAATGTCTGGTCAGCTAGTAGGTCAGTAAATATAATGTAAAACCAAAAATCGTGGGATCTTCTCTTCAAAAGGTTATTATTAATAGTCTTCTTATCTTATTCTTACCCCGTCTTAGGTTCACGTGTACATTTTCATTTTTTAAAGTAACTTAAGTAACCCATTTAAAATGTAGGGTAGGTTAATTTTGGAGAGATAGCACCCTGACGTCATTTGCGTGTTGTGTCCCTGGTTCCGATAGGGTCAAAACCTAGGTTTGGGATAAGTTTAGGGTTCAGGTAAGGAAGAATACTTTATCGAGATATTCGTCCGGCGGCCAAGTCACATGACAATGCTGAGACTGAGAGGAAGAGAGAAATACGGTTTAAAAAAAATATGAATGCTAAAAAAATAATAGTAATAGTGAGGGGGATAAATAATTAAGTTAAAGGTGGGGAGGCAGATAGTTCACAAAGAAATAGACCCTACATCTTAATATAGGGCCGATATAGTGGTAACCTAGCCGACTTCCATGCAATACTAATCCTGAAATAAAACTTTATTGACCAAGGCCAAAGGCCTATTGCCTATTGAAGTCTACTGGTCTTATTTTATTTTGTTCATATTTTAAGTTTAGGCTTCAAGGTAGAGCTTTACAAGATGTTTAACCAAGATAAGATAAGTGACTTTTTTCTTTGGAGAGTCGGAATCAAATAGACTAATAAGAGTAGTAGTAATAGTATTAATAGTTAGTATATAGTATAGGCCGACCAGTTTAATATTCAAAGTCAAACACCTTATGTATCTCAGAGCATTTGAATATATTAACATGTTCAGCATTTATTTATTATCTAGGGATCGGAATATCAAATGCAATGCAACTATTTTGCCGGCAACCACTTGCCACATGACCTGCCGGAATAATAACGCCTTCCAGTCGTCCGGTTGTCACGTGACATGCCCGCCGGATGTATATCTCCCACACTATTTGTCCGGCGCGCCAGACGTGTAGACACTTCGATGATCTTATATGCTTTAACCAGTTCATGAGACATTGCTGACTGTTTTTCTGTCCATCGACCAACTTGTGGCTCCTCCACACAGTGCATCGGATCCAGTCTTCACATGCTAAAAGGGGCAAGCTCTGTTTAACTGAGGATTTGAGGTCCTTCAGCTATCCTCAATGTGGTTTTATTGTCTAGTCGATACAGCAGACCTGTTTACTCTCACGATTTTGGCGCACAACGTACGATTTTGAGGTGTAAACACAATATATACTGTTTATTTTTTACTATTAAGATAATGTATTGAACGATTTTGTGTTGATATTGTACGATTTTAAGAATTTGAGGGTAAACAGGTCTGATACAGTTTCTGTGCTGTGGCTGCTTAGAGCCACAAGTGGAAGTTGAGTATTATGTTGGAGGTACTGTGTATAACGTAATCCAAGTACCTTGTGAATCTTGAGTTTTTGTTTGAACAAAAATCCTATAATGCTCTGTCTATGAAAATGTGATCGGTTAATTTTGTTCCATAACATGACTTTTTCCCTGAAATGGTGAAGAATAAGGTTTTAAAACAATAAACTCAATAACTTTGTCAAGACTGACAATATTTATTTTGCTGGATTTAAATTCAATACAGGACGCTGCATTATTCGAACTAACATAATTAAAAGATTAATATCATTGATTTTATTTTTAAAAGTTTGATGAAAATCTGACTTTAAATATATTTTCAATTAAAAGTTGTGATTTTGGAAATAAATAAACATGATAGAATGTGTGCGGAATCATGGGCACCGGCAAGAATTTTCTCAGGTGGGATCAACAAACTTCAGACATTCTTTTTCATAATGTAAACATATAATGAAAGCTAAAGAGCGTAGGCCTATGTATTAATATTAATTTTTAGAGTTGTTTTTTTTACAAACATGAAAAAGTCATTTTGTAAAAAATATTAATTTCTTAACATGAATTAGTAATCTTATAATAATATAAAATATGCAACTAAGAGACTCATTCATTTCTTGTTATTCTTTAATTTCAATCTTTGAAAAGGAATCAAAGCTGTTTATCCTCTCCAAATATTTCAATTCCTTTCTGCATAAACTATGCCATATTTCTTTTCACATTTAAATGATGTACACAAATAAAACACACCCCTGTAAAATGCTTTTCAATCATTTGTCGAACGAAACCAAGTTTTTGACTTGTCTGAGGTTACTAAAGGAATGCTCCAAAATGTAGTGTTGTTTTTGGTAAAGTAAGTGCAATAAGAATAGAAGGTGAAAAGTGTGTGCTTGGCAGCAAGTTGATAGCTGCAAGTCATTTTTAATACCTTGTGATTGTTGCTGCTTGCTCCAAAAATCAAACCAGTTGATTGCTTCTAGGTCGATATATGTCAATGACAGCTGGCTGAAGTCTGAATAGCTGGAACTGGGGACTGTTATCTCCAGAGAAACTGTTGGTCAGAGATGATTTTTCATCACCAGGGTGCAAACGATCAGGGAGGAGCTAGACAGCGCGACCCCTACACCTTCCTCACCATTCTCGGAGGACGTTAGTCAGACAGAATCATTTGATAGTTTTCTGCCTGTGACTGAGGATGAGGTGAGGCGAGTCATCATCAGGTCTGCTCCCAAGTCTTGTGCCCTCGATCCTATCCCCGTCCCACTGCTTGTAGAATGCCTTGACGTCCTCCTCCCAGCACTCACCTCCATCATAAATTCTTCGATTCTCTCTGGCATATTCCCTCCCATTTTTAAACGGTCGATTGTCCTGCCCCTCCTAAAGAAACCCTCACTTGATCCAAACACACTCAAGAATTACCGCCCCGTCAGCAACCTCTCCTTTCTCTCAAAAATCATAGAAAAACTCATACTCTCTCAGCTCTCTGGCTATCTTCATTCTCGCAATCTCTATCCTTCCTCTCAGTCCGCCTACCGACTTGGTCATAGCACAGAAACAGCACTGGTCCGAGTCATGAGTGACCTCCTGCGCGCGATGGACGATGGCAAACTCTCTATTCTCACTCTGTTAGATCTCTCTGCTGCATTTGATACCATTGACCACCAGATTCTTCTTGACCGCCTTCATCTTTCTTTCGGACTTACTGGCTCAGCTTTAAACTGGTTTCAATCATATCTTTCTGACAGAACTCAAAAAGTCTCTATTTCAAACCGCTCTTCCAAACCTTCAGCCCTGTCTATTGGAGTTCCTCAAGGATCGGTCCTTGGGCCGGTCCTTTTCATCCTCTACACTAAACCTCTATCATCTCTCATTAGCCACCACTCAGTTTCCAGTCAATCCTTTGCTGATGACACTCAAATCAGTGACTCTTGCTTTCCTGATCAACTTGATGCCACAATCCTTCGCATACAGGAGTGCGTGGACGATGTAAAGCGTTGGATGACTTGCAACAAACTGAAGCTAAATGATGATAAAACGGAAATCCTTCTCATCCACTCTCAAAACAAACCTCTCCCTCCATTCGCTCCTTCTTCTATATCTATTGGCAACTCTGACATCACACTCTCTCCCTCTGCCAGAAACCTTGGAGTCACGCTTACGGACACCCTCTCCATGGACAAACATGTCACGAATATATGCAGATCAGCATATAACGAAATTAGAAAAATCAGCACCATTAGACACCTCCTCTCCTTTGATGCCACAAAAACTCTCGTCTCTTCACTCATTCTTTCAAAATTTGACTACTGTAACATTCTTCTCTCAGGCATTCCTCAACACCACATAGAAAAACTTCAGAAGGCACAGAACTCAGCATGCAGACTCATTTTTAAATCAAAGAAACATGACCACATTCAACCACACATGCGGCAACTCCACTGGCTTCCAATATCCTCTCGCATCAAATACAAGTCTGCCAATCTTTGCTTCAACTCGTTCACTGACCCTCACTTTCCTGTCTATCTCTCTGAACTGTTGCTTCCTTACATCCCCACAAGACAACTACGTTCTTCCATTGACAGTAGAACCCTCTCAATCCCAAGAACTAAAACTAAGACCATCGGTGAACGCTCCTTCTGCTTCCATGGGCCCACGTTCTGGAACCAGCTCCCCTTCCATATACGTCATAGTGAAACCTCGTCCATTTTCAAAAAGTCCCTTAAAACTCATCTGTTTAGGTCCGCCTATGACCTGTGATGCACCCTCCTTGCCCTACCTCATTTTCTGTTTCGGGTTGATCCTGAAGTGTCAAAGTGTCCTCGTTTTATAGCCATTTTCATAGTTTCTATAGAATAGTAGTTACTATCCTAGTGTCTCATTTGTATTTACTTAGTTTACATGTTTTTATAATTGTAAAGCGCTTAGAGCTTTATGATAAGCGCTATATAAAAATGCCTAAATAAATAAATAAATAAATATTATAGAATCCAAATATGGAACGATATTGTTTGTTTAAAGTAGTCTTCTTCAGAGTCGGGATCTTCACTCTTGTCATTTGAGTTTCTAGGATTGCTGCGATATACTTGTCGTCCACAGATATGAGGGCTCTATAAAGCTTTTCCCCAGGTCTGTCCTCAAAAAAATTGTAACTTGATATTGGATGGTATGGGTTTGTGAGTAAATGATATTTTAAAACATCTGACAGGTGAGATGTTGACTGAATATATCGCCCAAATCAAAATCAACGATTGCCATATCACAGCAAAATTATTATGTGTTTCAAATCTGAGTGGTGCCGATAGTAATAAACCGCAGCTATGAGGACCACTGAAAGCAGCTTCAAACTCCCGAGAGTGTGAAATGGTCAGGTCACTACTTTTAGTGTGTTCTTCAACGTGTTTATTCTCTCTTGTTAATGTCATTGATGTGGACTCAGTTATTAGTATACAACACTCATCATCAAATTACTTCTTTTGTTATTTCCCTGGCTTCTCAGCCCACAAGGCATTTAATGTTTGCTGCTGCTGCTCATGTGCAGGTCTGTCCATGTTATCCATATTAATTTTACTGGAATTCATAAATCTCTCTATCCCTAGGTTTTTCTTTGACTACAACTAGTACACACTGCTTCTATCACTTCAGAATGACCGTCCAGGAATCTCTAACTGAAAAACTGTTCCCTTATATTTCCTGTCGTGTGACTATAAACTCTACTAGATACGCGTCCCAGTGTCATTCAATTGCTACATCATTAAAGACAGCATTCTCCTGACCAGATCCTTTACCCCCTGGCCCCCGATGCCTATTCAGTGTCTCTACTGACTTATTAGCATCTATCATGTTGAGTTTTTTTTCTATCCCTGATAATTAATCTAACGCTACCCATGGTCTTCATGAACATTCCACTTTTACCAGCTAACTACAAAATTGACTACTCAAACTCATTTGTTATACCCGTTCACACACTATCCTCCTGGTGTCTTCCGGCCTCCCAAGCTATCTCATCTTTCCTGTACTACCATAGACTCTGCCGATGCCAGGTTAACTACTCCCTCATCTATTGTACTTTTGTTCGAAACCTACGCCCATCATTTCCCTTCTTAGCCCTGGACATTTGTGACATATAAAAATAAACAGTATTTTTTTTAAATATAAATTATTTGATATTCATAGGGACAAATTTCAAATATTAATTTTTTTTTTTTTACTATTATTTATTATTTTCCAGGTGGGGTCATGTTCATCCATGCTGCAGGTGCTCATGTGTGGAATGAAGGGGATAACATGCATACATTTTTCTTGCTGCTATATTAAAATAAAAAGTGTTGATGAAAAAATTGCTTACAAACACATATAAAGCGAATCCCTAACTTTATGTTGGACTTTTAACATAAATTTTGTTCATTATAATGTATGTATTATGATGTACAATGAGCGCCATGTTGGGTGGGACCAAAGATTGATTATTGATCCCAAGGGGTATGACTGTTACCTAATCAAGGATATTACCCCATCATATTTACACCATATACCACCTTTTGGATTATTAGCTGGCTAAAGTTTGTGTTATTAGTTGTGGTTCTTGAGTTTACAGCCTCTCTATCACTATCACAAAAACTATTTGTAGGGCTAGTAGCTAAACGTTATTGCAGGGAAGGCTCACTCAAGTGTGATATTGAATACACCAAGGCTGTCAAAATATTGTATTGTTTTTATAAATCAAAGTGTCTATGACCTGAGTGTTGGTAAACTTACGGCACTAAAAACTGTCTTTATCACCATATTGAAGGTAGCAAATCCATGAGAACTAAAAGCTAATTTTATTTTATCAGAGCTGAAAATTCAGCATCTTTCTGAAAATAGAAAGCAGATGCATCACAGATAGTTTGATTTTTAAATAAATATATTGATACAAGTAGTCTAGTATTAAAGTACCATACTTGGTTGCCATTCATTCTCGTATAATCTGCTTTCTAATCCCACTCAAAATGTGGAAGTAAAGCTGTGTATGAAATGGTGGAATACATTAAACACTTTTACCAGGACCAAGTGGTATTAGTAATGAAATGATGCAGATTTGGATTTTTTTTTTTTTACTGGTTATATCTTGATGTATCAAAATTGAAAGAAAATGAAGAAATAATTATCTATGACATTTGTTGGTCTATTTTATTTTTGATTTAATGTATAGTATACTTTTTACAATTATTTTAGGTGTGATATTGATATGAATCATTGTTAAAAATTTAGTAGGCCCATCTTTATTTTGCAAATTTTCACAAGTGACAAAATCAAGGTCATAATACACACATTTTAACATTATAATACACACATTTTAACATTATTTATAAATGAGGAGTAGATAAATTATCATGTTTTTTTTCTTCAGGGAAAGGGTTTATTAGGAAACACAATTTTTCAAAAGGGAGATGTCATCTTTGAAGAAAAACCCCTTGTCAGTGCACAGTTCTCTTGGAATGAGTTGTATAAATATTTGGCCTGTGAATATTGCCTTAGGTCACTGGAGACTGCAGAGGAAATGGCAAAAAGGCTGACCAACAATCCAGGGCTTTCTTTGCCCTACCCTGAATGCTGTGATTTAGATACATCCCAATTTGCTCAGTGCCCGGATTGTCAGGTATGAATCATTCTTTTATACTAGCTACAACTACCATTAGTAATTAAGGTTTTATTAAGCAAAGTAACTCTGTTCTTGTCCTTTATTTTACAGTCTATCAGTGAGATCTTTCCCTATTTAAATTGTTCCAACATGTTTATGACTGACCTAGTAATTTTTTTACTTTGATTCATACCAGATACTTTACTGTAGTTCTGTTTGTCGTGACCTTGCTGCTAGTCAGTATCATCAGGTTTTATGTAAAGGATCATCCCATGATGATGCAGAAAATCCTTTAAATCAGCTTGTTGAAATATGGAGGTAAACATTTGATTAATCAATTATTGCTTCATGCTAAAGCAGTTAATGCATTGTGAGGGTCATTTATGATACTGATAAGTAAAATAAAAGCTGTTAAGGTAACTTTATATATTATATGCAAAAGCTTTTTAAAAAAAATATATTTCAATATTTAAAATCTCTACCAAAAAGGGTAAGATATGCAAAACAAAATGATTTTCATTGTCTTTTCCAGATCTTTTCATTATCCACCAGAGACATGTAGCATTATGCTAATAGCTAAAATTATAGCTATGGTTAAACAGGTTTGTATATTCAAACATAATTACTGGAGGAAACACATTGCTTAATAAATGATCTATTTGATCAGAGAGAAATAAAGTTGTATAACAATGATCATCAATGTGTGGGATACCACCTCCCAAAGTGGCGATGGGATAGCTGAGAGGAGCCCTGAAAGGCTTTGGAGATTGTGGGGATCCCAGGACTCTCAAAACGGGCACTGGGGAATACATTTTTAATTAAAATTATATATATATATCAAACTTAAAAGCAAATATGCCTTCCCTGTTTTGGTAAGATAATTATCTCTAATAGAGCACAATATTGACCATCTCAAGTGGTTATAAGGGGGAGAGATTGCAATCGGGTTAGGCAAAAGGAAATGAGCGAAACAAAGTATGAGAAAACCTGAAAGAAGGATGCAACATAAGGAATGTATCAGCAAGTAGCCTTTCAAACCATAAACAATTTAAAACACATTCCAGCACATTCGTCTTGCTGTCCTCTCAGATACTACATTGCAGCTAAGTGTTTTTTAAATACTCTGCTATGTGTTACACTTTGACATTTGTGTAATTATTCTTTACTGAGGGTCCTGGAAACTATTATTTTGTAATTTTCTTTTTTAAAAAGTATGTGTGTGTGTGTGGAGGGGGTGGGGGGGGGTAATGGTGCACTAGGGAAGAGTTTATTTCCCCATTGTTGAGTGTGTTTGTGGGGGGGGGGGATTGAAAACCACTATTCTAGAGTTCTAGGAAATAGATGACTTAGTTTAGTACTAATTACAAATTATTTATTGTGGAAATTTGTAATTGAAACTAAGTATGAAGATTTAATTTTTAATAAGGGCAATGACTCATAACTCTTATAGCACATTAGCAAGTATTTTTTTATGTGGCATGTAGTATGTTTACATTGGATATTTCCAATTTTTTCAAGTAAAGTAAATAAAATATTCTTGTTTTGTTGTTAGGCACAAGATAAAGGAAAAGTTATTTCATCATTTTCAAATTTTGTGCAAACTGCTGTCAATGACCAAGAACACATTGCACACAAACTGCTTGGGGAACAATTCCAGGTAACTTATATTATAAAATTTGGTCTAACTATATTTTTTCCTTTTCTAAGTAGTTGGTACTTTTATTTGGACAGTTTTAAATTCTTTAATTTTAAGGCTCAATTTCAGATCTTAAAAATTGAAACAAAATAAATAAATGTGTATAGCTATTTGCTACCTGTAAATAGAAGACAAAACATAAGCAATTTATAACACTATTTTTAATTTTTAGCCAATTGAAATTTTTTAAATATTTTATGTCACTTTGTAGGTACAACGAGAAGTGTTGAGAAAGCATTTAACAGATGCTTTATTTGAGGAGTCTGTACAAGAAGTAAGAGTTGTTCTAAAACTTTTAGCCATTTTCATATTTAACTTTTGATTACCCGGTACTGGCATGCTTAGATTTATTTTTGGAGCTGCATTTATGTAGTTATAATTGCCCTTATTAACTTTTCAAGTAAAGTATCTCAACTATGAACATTAAAAATTATTTTTTTAAATTCCGAATTTTCAAATGATTTCACAAGGTAAATGACTTTTAATTTCAGTGGTTCACTTCAGAGGGTTTTAATTCTTTGTTTGCACTAATTGGCACAAATGGTCAAGGAATTGGATCAAGGTTAGCCCAATATGTATAATAAGGCTATAGGCAAAAGATTAATTATAACTGCTTGTTAAGTTAATAGTATGGAAACATTTTTTTTGTTATAATTAGTCTGGAAGGGCTCTTTCCTTCTTTATATTAAATTATTGTTTCATTTATTTTTTAGTAAAGAGAACTAGGAAGTAAGATAAAAAATATATTTTTGTAAAATCCTTTCATAATTATTTATCTAAATTTGCAACATGAGGTACATAATATCATATTGTAAATTTTCTTCATTATAAATTGTAAACCCAAACAGTAGTTTTAAAACATATTTATTATATGCTATCAGACCTGTTTACTCTTACGATTTTGGTATGGTATACAATGGAGAATTTTGAGTCGCGTTTTACAATTGTATGCCGAGACCTGTCGGAACTATGACTCCAGGAGGCCGAGTTGAAAAATTTATATGCGAGTAGTTTTTTTTATCATTTAAAAAAATGAACAAACAAACCATTTTCGGTTGTTATTTTTAGCTCCTGTCTACATCTGGTGGTGAATGGTCTGAGAAATATGATTTGTTGGGGACCATCATAATTATATTACTGATGGGGGGCATTGGTGTTGACTAAGGAGCATAAGGATGTGCATGGGAGGGGATGAGGAATATGTCTAAATAATTTTAAAGACTACAAAAATGGTTTGCCACTTTTTATAATGATGGTCATCATATTGTTGCTTTCTATTTCCACAATGAACTCGTTAGATATGGCAAAAGTAATATTTAATGTAATTAAAACTAATCACAAATTTAGTCAACATTCGCTTTTGTTTTCTTTGATGCTGTATGACATACGTTGGTGACAATTATTTCATTCTTGCCTGAACATGAATTGCACAAAATGGAGAAAACAGCACATTTTTTTATTTTTAATAATGCATTCTCAACTGCTTTACAGAATAGCATTAGAGTTGAGATATTGTATAAGATTCAGTAAGTTGTAGTTATCTATAAATCTATTTTTAGAAATCACTAAGAAGCTGTACAATTTTAAGAAATATAGAAAGGTTAGAGGTAAACCTGAAGAAGGATCAAAGGAGAAAGTGAACATTACAACCAAAAAACCTTGGACAGCTAAAACAGTTAATAACAGAGACAAAGGGTCTCAGCTTGTTGCATAAATATGTAGTCTACAGGAAATGGTAGACTTATGCAACGATGGAAGTGTGCCATGAAATCAAAGAATTTGTCTATGAGATTAACAGGAAACGTAAAATCTTAGACATAAATGAATAAGTAAATAATTAAATGAAATAAGATTAAAAACGTAATGAAGATTGCTATAAAGCAGAGAGGATAGCATAGGTAAAGTTAGCAAGGATGCAAATATGGAAAGAAGTTAAGAACACAAAAGGCAAATGGGGCTCTTGCTTTACCTACACATGTTTGGAACACAAAGAGAATAATCAGAATATTTAGTTAAAAATGTTGTTTATTATTCAGAACTATTTCGGTCAGTAAAGAAAGATTAGAAAAGACTTTAAACCTCCATTAATAGTTTACTGTGTATTATTATTATTAAAGGGATCTTATATAGACACCTTAATATTAGGTGATTCCACAAAATCACAAATATAGCAATTAATTATGAAGGTCATAATGAGGAAGGGAAAGGAAATTCATGGTTATTAGTCATATAATGTAAAGGGAAAAAGAGAGAGTGTGTTAGCATTTTAAAGAGAACATGACATTCATACCATGTGGTGTCAGGGTCCCATAGGTGTGTATCAACCCTTGCTTGCCTGTTGGTTGAGGAAAACAATAGCCGTATTGGACACATCTGTTGAGCAATACATTGTCAAGCACACCTCTTCCCTTCTCCCAATAAAGTAGGCTGTGGTTGTTAGGTTATATTTTAGCAGAAAACATGCAATGACAATAGTTATTGTATACATTATGATGTGTGTATATTTATTTACTAATACAATACAGTATTGAACGATTATGATGAGGTAAATTACTATTCTAAAATGATACACTACTATTTTGGGAGTTCCAGGGTAACCCGGTCTGTGCTATATTTGACAATAATTTTTTTCAGATAGGTATGTTTTTATTGATGACTGCATTAAAACACATGGACATTGCTAACCTGATTAATAATTTTGATTTTCAGCTCTTTCAGCAGATGGGTAAAAAATACGGAAAAACTCCCTTTGGGTGATTCTGAAAGGAAACAATTAGATGATCTAATTGAAAAGTGTTATGAGCAATTAGAAGAAGGTATAGCCATTTTCATTAAGCCAATAATTTTTTAGGCCTTTAATATTGAGAAAATGTCAGTGTATAAATTACCTTTGAGTGTTACTGGAATAATGTGAATTGTTTAATGTTTTAAAGTTTCAGGTGATTTTTTGGATTGTGAAGGTTCTGCATTATACCAGTTGCAGAGTTCATGTAAGTATTTTGTGATATCTACAAAAGTCCAGTGGTAATAAAGTACAATTTGTGTGCCTAGCATAACTTAGATAGTTTCTTTTACCCAAAGAATGGGACAATAAACACACAGTCCTGGTAGTCATTGGTAGATGAGCAACATGAAGAGGGATATTAAATGTCATTCAACTGTAACTTAAGTTATGAAAGTACTGCATTTGCATAATTTGAATGTATTTCCATGAATTAATGCCCGTAACTCTATCTCTATCCATACCCATTAATGCTCAAACTTACAAAATTGGCAGCATTTAATCATATTTTTCCTCAGTACTTAAGACTGATAAGTTATATTTATCATTAATTGAACGGAAAACAATTTATTATTAATTGAACGGAAAACATATCTTTTTAACAAATGACTCCTTTTCTTTAGGTAACCACAGCTGTATTCCTAATGCAGAGATCACTTTTCCATATGGGGACAATACATTAGCTTTGGTGGCTCTTAAAGATATATCACCAGAAGAGGTATTTGATCATTTCTTTTCTTATTTAAGTTTTCTTTTCGTTCTAAATATTTACGATCCTCATTTTTATGTTACAGACATATGGAATGTGTTTAAAAAAGGTGCATGCTAAGAGGATAAAATCAAATTTAGATATATACACAAAATTGTGTTATATAGATCTTGGAAGTAAGTTCATTTGAATTAATCATTTGATATTCTTGATAATCAATTTTTGTATCTAATGACTGATCTGGTTTTTAATGAAATTGATTTCTTTTTGTTTAATTTTAAAACAGATGTAACATAATTTAAATCATGAACAATACCTAGTTTATGGTATCATTTTCATGTGTTAGCTTTATTTTAAAGCTGATGTTGAGTATGGTAGTTCATTAATAAATGTTGCGACTGGATATTATGTTTGATTACGAGCAGTGTGTTTTTGAGAGATTAATTAGTTGGTAAACACTCTTCCTGCACTTGACTTGGTGACATATTTTTATGCTTATTATGACTTATGTCAAGTCTGTTTGATGACATACGTTTTCTTTGTGTGGCAGTCGTGAAAGGAACATTGTGGAAGAAGGTTGGGTTTTATTTCTCTCTGATAGCGAGCTGCGCTATACATGTGTATATGGAATTAACAGTCTGTAAGTTTAATTATATATATTAAAGTTGCATTTATTATGAAAAAAGACTTGCGTTGATTCAGTGCTAGTGCGACGTATTACAACTTGTAAAAGAACTTGATAAATTAACCAATCTAGTACACAGGAGTATGACAGCTGGGAATGTCTTCTCTAAAAGGAACAAAAATGTAATTATAGCATCATGGAGGTTTGCCACACTGCTCAACCAACTTGTGCGTATTTTGTGTAAGCTGCTTTGAATATTTGTCATATTTTAGTGTTATCAGTAATTTTTCTTATTTTTGATTTTTTATTTTAGGAAATTACTATTAGCTATCTAGGATGTTGTGATTTGGAGAGAAGCAGACACAGTCGACAGAAGGCCTTAAAGTAAGCAGATTAAGAATTTTATCATTGCCAACAACAAGGGTCAGCAAACTAAAGCAAGGAAGTCAAGCTGCACTGAAAAGTTATTAAAGCAATACCCTCAGAAGATAGATAACCATGTTTTTGATAAAATTGCTATGAATAGTTATTGCAACTATTAAAGGTTAATGGTTTGTTATAGACAAGATCCACATTTCTTTATCAATTGAGTGGATTTACTTTCAAAGTATTTCTAGATGATCACTTTATCTTGTAATTTTAAAAAAATATGTTTAGAATTATTTTATAATTAAATTGTTTCCCAATAATAATTCATTTGTTTTTCCCCACAGGGAGAATTATTTATTCAAATGCACTTGTGAGAAGTGCCTGTATCAGGCTGATGATGCCAGTGTTACATCAGAAGAGGATGATAGTGAAGAAATGGATGAAGAAGAAACATAAAAATAAAATGTGATTTAATTTGAATAAATAATATGTGAAATAATCTTTTTTTTTTTCCAGTTTATATTTGTGTAAAACCTTATACTTATAGTATAGTCGTGGAGATTTTTGTCAAACAGATCTCCTGACTTTTCCCACCCTTTGGATCTCATCATTGTATTAGTTAAGCTTTCAAATTTATATAATTTTGACAGAGCTTTAAGTTACCTATTCAAAATTTATGTAGTAAATTTTTAACAATGAGCTAAAAGATGATGTCAATTAAAAGTCTTTCATTTTGATAAGTGTTAGGTGTAGTTAAACTACATCTATCTTAGTTATTTAACCCAGCAAATGTATGGGCTCATAATCATGGTGGAGGTTGAGAGTTTTAACCCCATTCTGGCCATTTTAATAAGTTTCAATCATTTTATACAGTTTAAGTTATACCGGTACTGATGACTGTGTGCTCATAAAATATTTAATTCAAGTATGTATTTGGAACTTGACAGCAAATCAAATAGATACAATGATGGTGAACTAAAAACTTGATTCATTTTTGTGGTATTACAAGTGTTTGTTTTTTCTCAGAGGTGAAATAAAGTTCAGAAATGTAAATGTTTCAACCAAATTAAAATAAACTTACCAGTGTACAGCAATATAAATCCTAAAAGTAGCTAAATGAAGATGTTTTATTACTTTAGAAAATGTCTAGCAGCTGTGTTCAAATTAGTGTTTGTATCGAGGTAAAGCCAATAGCTCTTAATTTACCCATGGTTATTTTATGTATAATTACAAATCAAACAATCCACAGAAAAGCTTAATGCAAATTGCAAAGAGATTAAAAGTTTCAGCATATGATTTTTTAAATAGGGTTGGGAGGGGGGGGGGGGGGGTGTCGTGTCGGTAATTTGCCAAATAGTTCTGAATATTATTTGGTGCAATATTACAAAAAAGAAAAGGAAATACTAAAGTTTCAGCATATGATTTTTTAAATAGGGTTGGGAGGGGGGGGGGGGGGTGTGTCGTGTCAGTAACTTGCACAATAGTTCTGAATATTATTTGGAGCAATATTACAAAAAAGAAAAGGAAATACCAATAATGTTCTATTTATCAAGGTCAATTTTATTTGTTAAACATAAAAGTAAAAGTAATAATTTTACATTAAGTTTCAGTGGCGTTAAAATAAAAATCCTCTTCATGTGTATATGGCATAAATAAACACAAATATCAGATTTTTAACACCTTATAGACTGAAAACAGAAGGGAAGGAAACTTTGTTTGATTTAAACTTAAGACTAAGAAGTTTTTCAGACTAGAATTAATACCTAATTTCATTTAAAACAAAATATTTATAAATTGGCAAGAAATAAAAACTCTTAAAATAATAAATAAATAATAAATTGCATGAAAAGTATTATATTTTATGTACAGCAATCCTTATTTTTGCACATGCATCTTGGCATTTGATCAATAGACCATTTCTCCTCAAACTTACCCAAAACAAGCATCTTGTAGTTGTGTAGACATGTAGCTGCTAGCTTATTCAGATTGTAATGTAGGTCAACATTATGACAACAAAGAGGTATGACTGCCTTTAGGCTTTCATTCAATTCAGTGTAATTTGTATTAGCTGTGCACTGTTAGTGTTACATCTAGTGTTTAAAAAAATCAGTGACTTACAGATTCAAATTTTAAGAGATTTTGTGCAAGGAAGAAAAAGTATTTTGACCAGAGCACTCTACCAGTACTTCCAGACTTCATGAAGCCATCTATTTCAAAATAACTTATTTTTTTTAAATTTTCTTTTTTTTTTTAAATTTTCTTTTTTTTTTTAAATAATGCTATACTATAACATTTAATTTTCTTTAAATTTGCAATTTATTTTTGCTATCATAAAAAAAGACCAATATTTCAAAATAACTTATTTTTTTTAAATTTTCTTTTTTTTTTTAAATTTTCTTTTTTTTTTTAAATAATGCTATACTATAACATTTAAGTTTCTTTAAATTTGCAATTTATTTGTGCTATCATAAAAAAAGACCAAATATTATCTGGGTAATTCTGTTATTATTTGAAAAGAGAACAATTAATCAGGAATGTTTAACTCATAAAATGGATATTAATTATACCCACCCTGACTAGTTTGTTAACCTACACATTTTAGTCATAAAAATATATTTCTTATGTTTGGTTAGACTCAGTTTATTGACACAGCTGTTTGTTTGGGACCAACAAAGAAGAAAACAGAGTAGTAAAATCAAATGACTCCACTTAATTGGGACTGATCAGAATAGAGAGGATCAGATTGTTTTAGCTGATTTTGTTTAGTAAATGATTAATATGGATAATTGGGGCAGCCATTTAGCGGGGTCAAAAGTCACTTTTCTCAATTAATAGTTTTCCACTAACCTATTAAAGGGGTAATCAATATACTGTAAAAAATGTGAATCCAAGGAGCATCGACATGTCAATTTATCAAACAAGACTATATATTTCAAATAAATAGAGGGCAATGCCTTGTCAGAGATGTCAAATCTTGCTAGTATTATTAGTATGCCTTATCGTAAATGTGGTATTAATTGATCAAAGTAGTTTATTTACTCTCATTTGATCTGAAATTTTCTTTTTTTTATTTATAAAAATTTTTTATGGGTAAAAGTTTGTCTACCTTGGTCTAGGAATGATTATTCAATAATATTCCGTTCCACAAAGCCCCTGGAGAAGACCTCATCACAGCGGAACTTATTAAATATGGAGGAAGAGAACTACACATTCAGATACATAAAGTTATAACTAAAATTTGGCAAGAAAAGAAAATTCCAACAGAATGGGAAATTGCATTAATAACCCCAATACACAAGAAAGGCTCCAAACTTCAGTGCACAAACTACAGAAGAATCTCATTATTGAATGTTTCATACAAAATACTGATGAAGCAAATTACCAAAAGACTACAACCCTACACTCAAGAAATACCAGATTATTACCAATGTGGATTCAGGCAAAACAGACCAACAACTAATCAGATTTTCACCATCAGATGCTTATTAGAGAAATGTTATGAATATAATATCCCAGTACATCAACTCTATGTGGACTATAAAATGGCCTATGACAGCATCAAAAGAAAATATCTATATGATGCATGTAACACTGAACAACTCAAAAAGTAAAATCAAGGTTGAAGGAGAATATTCAAGGGCATTTTAGATTAGATGAGATCCAAGACAGGGAGACTGACTGTCTTGTATGCTATTTAACCTAACATTAGAGTTATAAGAAGCATACATACTGACACCCGAGGAACAATAACAGGATACTTTCTGAAGGAAACCCAAGACCCACAACCAATGGGCACTCTCTACCATCAAGCCGTTCAGTATCTTGCATATGCTGATGACATAGCACTGACAGGGAAAAGTAATCAAGACATATCAAAAGCCTTCATTGAATTAGAAGATGCATCACTGCAGCAGGGCTGGAAGATAACAACCAAAAAACAAAATACATGACTATGAGTATGATAAGAGAAGAACAGACAGATGAAGCCATTAAAATTAGAAACCAGACTTGAAAAAGTAAATCAATTCAAATACCTATTAAATGAAATAAATGAATTACTAACAGAAATAAAAGAAAGAATATAGCCAGAAACGGAGCATACTTCAGTCGTCAGGAAATTCTCAAAAGTAAAAACATTACAAGAGAAACAAAGAAAACTATTTATAAAATTGTAATCAGACCAGTTGTAAAATATGCAAGAAAACTTGTACCCTAACAAACACGGCAGAAAACCTATTTAACACATTGGAGAGAAAAGTTCTCAGGAAAACATATGGACCAATAAAGGATGAATATGGATGGAGGATATGAACCAACAATGAATTGTACAGTCTATATCAGGATCCCATGACAGAAATAAAAAAGGGTACACTATGCTGGGCAGGACATACCTAATGACATAGGAGTGAAGAGGGTGCATCAACAAAACCCCAGAGGAAAGCGGGTCAAAGGCAGACCTAGGCTTAGATGGATGGATGGATGAGGAAAAATATCTACAGCAACTAGCAATCCAAGCATGGAAAGGAAAAGCATTAGTTAGGTCTGAGTGGAAGGCAATAGTGGGGCAGGCCAAAGCCCTACATGGGCTGAGCACCACAAGGATAGATGAATGGATTACATTTCAAACAGTTTTCCTACTCCTAAAAGAGTGGGCCATCCAAGGTTCAAGGTTAGCAAGTCCTTTACACCCAGGGTGCTGGTGCTAATTTTTGCTTGTCAAGGCTTTTGCTGGGGATTGAACTCCAGTCCACAAGCTTGGGATTTACTCAAGTTTAGACTTTTTGACCTCCCAACTTCTTACTAAATATACATTTCTTTATCAAATTTCAAGATTTATCAAGAAAGAGTTGAAGAACCTTTTATTTATGCACAAAAACAGTGGGAGATGCAAAAAGATTCACTTTTGGGTTTTAAATTTATCATTTGATTAATTAAGTGTGCATACCTGTTGGAGTACATACTTTGAAAGTTTGCACTGGGTGGCATTTAGACAAGTCATGCCATTGTACAGTGCAAATGTAGAGGTTCTTAAAATGTAATCCCTTTCTCCCTCCCTATTTGAGCTAGCCCACTTAAGCACATTTTTTTAGAGCTAATTTTTTTAAACTAAATAAATGTACAAACTGTTTTAATGTCATGTTTATTATTGCCTATATTTTTATGTGAAGCAAGGTGAGGTCGTCTTGGCCTGGAGTACTGAATATTAAAGTTTAGTTAAGTTTCAAATTTTTAATATCCGAAAAACTACTTATGAATTAAATCATATTTTAAAAATAGTTGATGCATAAATACGACATGTGTGACATTCCTATTTAAAATACTTATATGCTGACATTGATCATCTGAACAAATATAATTATTATAATTAATACCTCAAAACATAATAATAACATAATCATTAATCTAGCATTCTTTGAGTGGCTGTTTACTGTTTAGATTATGAATAGGCACAAGAATCAGTCATGAGATTCAACACAATACTGCCTTGCTGAAATTGTCTCCAAGTCTCTCTTAGCACAACTTAAAATATGATTAATCACATAGAAAATTGATTAGTGAATATTGAAATTACACAATTTTATGATATTATTATAAATAATGGAATAAATAAAAAGCTACTTAACCAATATTTACATGTCAATCATAATATTATAAACTTAATAATTCTCTGCATGATTTTTAGCTTGTAATCTAATTCACTTATTAGAACAATTGATTTTTTTTTTTTTAATTTAGTGAATACAAATAAGATATGCAAGGCTACAATGGAAATTTTCACATTATTCACACTTTTGCTGAATACGTTGCTTTTTTTTGAAAACAATACAAAACTACTTGTTATTTGGACCATTATTTAGAGCATTCTGTTAGATGTATAATTTTACAAAGATATTATAGCAGTAGATACTGTTCATCATCTCGATTGGTTTGATAGTAACCATCATTGGGGCAGTCATAGATTAAATGACCCTCTTTTTTACATGATGAGCATACGGGGACCTTATCAGGAATCCAACATCTGTTTTCTGTTTTGACATTTTGTTTTCGTAGTTCTTCAAAAAGTGACCTTTTACTAGAACTTGAACCCCCAACAGCTACTGGCCTGGAGGAATGAATTACCTTTGCATGTTCATCTCTCTCCTTTTGATAAAATCCTTCATGTTCCTCACTGTGATCCTGACCAGTTTCAAAGATACACTCGTCATGCATTGACCGTGTTGCCCCTACGTAGTCAGAGAGAGGCACAAATTTTGACTTTGTCTTTTTGCCACGTTTCACTCCTTTGTCTTGGTGAGAAGCTTTAGTACTGTTTGTTTCCTCAGTTACATTTGAATCTACTTCCACACTTGTGAAGAACTGCTCAGGCCACTCGGGAACTGGTGGAATGTTTCTTTGGTTCATTTCAGAATCACAAGTATGCTCTCTTTCACCAGTCAGGTTGGCCTTGTAGCACTGTAAGTTGATTTCAGGTTGCTTCAACTGGAGTTTGGTACTGAAAGATTCTGGATCAACTGAAGTGCTGGCCTCCGATGATTTCTGGGGCCAAAGACCACCTTGTGGGATTAGCTCAGAAAGACTTTTCCATTTTCCTGAATTAGAAGGAGTTTGTGGTAAAAATTTATTTGAGGCACAAATTTCAACAGAAGATCCCTGAGATGCACTGGAAGATATCTCTTTTGAATCAGAATCATAGGTTGAATTTGTTTGCAGTGACTCTTTTAGTTGAAGATTGAACTCGCAGGCCTCTAGATTTTCATTTTCTTTAAGATAGGTTTCATCATCAGTGTCCCCCTTGATGAGTTTAGCAAAACAGTCATTGGAGGGTTGAGAGTTTTCCATTTTTACTCCAGCAGGGAGTCCTAGTATCTTCAGCACAGATTTGGGAACTATCCTTTTTTTATACTCACATTCTGAGGTTTGGCTTAGTGCTGAGCTATCAGAAGACATCTCACAGCCTGAACTTTTCAATGATTTCATTGGGTAAATAAGGCTTTCCTGTGCTTTTGACATAAGATGGTCATCATCAGCAAAGACAGGGTGACCTGCAGTTTGAGCGTGGCTTCTCCTAGGTGGTCTGTATAATGATGCAGATACCTTGTCCTTAGTTTGGTAGTGTCTATCTGATTTAAGGAATATAAATACTTTTTTGAAATGAACATCATATGGTGCTCTATTTTAACAAAATTTCAAAAGTGGATCTTTATGAAAAGTATAAAAGGTATGTGCAAATATGCTTTAGACCTTTCTAAGCTATAAATTCCTTTAAAATTGCTCAAAAAGTAAGTCATTAATGTACCCCATATGCCAGGATAAGCCTAAAAAACAAGATAAATAAACAAAGGAGCAAAACTTCTTTTGCTAAAAATTCTATGGAAACTATTTAATTATCTTACCATAAGTTTGTGTAGCAACATCAACACTGGTTGGTCTAACAGCCTGAGGTAAGGGGAGATTACCATTGTGTAGCCTCAACAACAGATCCAGAAGCAGAGATCGTACTTTCCTGTTAATAGATGTGTAGAACATTAATAAATAACACACTACCATCTATTTCTTGAAAATAAGTTGAGGAAGGGATTAAGCTACTAGTACAAACGTGATGGTTTAACTTTTTGAAAAACGAGAGATGTCAGTCTAAACTTTATAGATAGCTTTCTGAAAATGTCTACTAAAGGTATGAGAAAGAGAATCAGAAGATCATAAAACAAACCATTCATGAATAGTCACAATGAAAGCAATTGAAAGATTTTTGAAGTAAGAATTGACAATGATATTTTGGTCACATAATAAATATGAATTACTACTGTTGTGTTTAAGTCCCTCTGCCTACTAGATAGACATGAAAAAATGGTGGCTAGGTCGTGAATAGTTGGTGGCTAGGTCATTAATTGTTTGTGGTAAGTCATGAATTGTTAATGCTAGGTCATTAACTGTTGGTAGTTACCTCATGGACTGTTGGTGGCTAGATCATGAATTGTTGATAGTTGGGACATGAATTGTTGATAGGACATGAATAATTGTTGTTAGGTTTTGGAATTTTATGTAAGAACTAATTAATAGTTATTATTAAGGATACCTGTATTTAGTAGTGTTGATAGTCTTAGTTATACTTTTAAAATGGTCAGGGTCCTTTCCCAATAGACAAGAGTTGCTAAACATGTTTGCAAACAGCTTGTTACTTTAAAAAAAAATGATTTTCTTCTGGAAATCTGTTTTAATTTACTTTATAAAAAGATGAGATAAGATTCTTTATTGATCCAAATAAATTAATGGCAATGTTTTTTTTTTAATACATTGTACATATTATTATGGCTAGAAAGTCTTTGATATTGTATGCTTGTAATTAGTTTTTGTAGTGTTGTGTTTGTTTTAAATGTGGTGAATTATAGATATGTTTTTGTTGACTTTGTACCGCGCTTCGAGCCTTTGGGGATGAAGCGTGTTTTTTTTAAAATGAACTTTATTATTATTATTATTATATTCACTTTCAGCAAAATACTTTAAACCATAACAAAATTGTACAATTATAACAATTTGAACACAAGACTTCTAAAATTAAAAGAATTTCTCTAGCATAGGAATAAGCCTTAGATGAACTCCTTTAGTGAAAATAATGACTTTATTAGTGATCATTTACATTTGGTAATAACTGGGGAAGCCCCCTGGTAAATTCCTACAGATTGGGAGACAAAATAATGTTCATATCTTTCGGTCCTAACTTCAAGAGAAATAATTCGCCCTGATCGAGCTGATCTTAGGTATCAATGATGAAGTGGGTGGGATGGATGTATCATCATTTTAAAACAGCGTTTTTTCTTGAAATTGTTTTTCAAGTGAAGGATGTTTAGTTTGTGTGATATTACTAGCTTTCTAGATAGCAGGTTCAAACAAGTTTATTTTGCTTACCTGCAGGTTAAATCATTAAGCAGTTTCTCTTTCATCTCTTCAATAAGATTTAGATATTGTTCATGAAACTTGTCAACTAAGAGACTTTGTGTGCAGCTCATAAATACATCCACACATTCCAAGTACATCATCTCCACATTAAGAAACGACTCCTGATCCTGTTTTCTCTACATTTGAGAAGTAAGATGAAATGTTACAGAAGTGTTAATGAAGCATAATTCAAATTAATATTCAAAATCTTCAGAGGACACAATAAATAAAAAATAGCAGCTGGCAAAAAGGGTAAAGAAATGATGCAGGGAGAAGAGAAGCTGGTTGGTCAAATAATGAACACCCTAAATAAACTATGATGAGATTGATGCTTCATGTATGAAGCACTTTAAGGAGACATTAAACCAGCAATTCAACTTTTGGTAGGTAATATTAAATGCTCTAGCTAACAATTATTTCTACATATTAACCAGTGAGTTCCATGCCCATCCAACATTTTTGACCTATTTTATTTTGCACTGAGTAAATCGTACCTGTTTATTAAAAACTATCCATCGTTCCATTAGCGTAACAGCATATTTTTGTACATCTGAATGAATGCTGAAGGAACAAAAAAGGTTCCTTGAAATGCTATGTGTATTTGTTATAAAACAATGTGTTGTAGAAAAAATAACAGGAAAAGTTAAAATAAAACTTGACAAGTAACTATTTGTATGTCAATGATAAGTACATTTATTTGAAAACCACTTGATAAAAATACAGGCAAATAATAGCAAACCAAAATTGTTTGTCTTTAACCACAAGGCGATATAAACAGTCATAGCTCCGAATCACAGTTATGATCACATTTTCAACCAAACCAGGAATTGATCATAGTTCAAAACAGTTTTGACCAAACCCCAAATCTAATAACAAGTTATTTCAGCTCCAATTATAAACTGAAAGTTAAAGTGCAAACAAAACATGTAACTAACTTAAATGGCGCAGTTTATCATTTTCCCATAATCCCAAAAGTACTGGTCAACTTTGGTCAGAGGATCAACATTTGACATTCTTTTACTCTTCATTTATTTTTCATAGGTGAAGAAAGGGTTAAAATACGCTCTTTCTAAAACCTTAGAATCGTAATTGAAAGATTACATTCAAACCATTTTTAAATTTAGCTATGTATAAATATACATTAAAAATGACATACCTTGATGGCAACACTTCAACCCAAATAAATATCTTAGCAAGAACTTGTGCAAACGATTTATAGTGTCCTGAACACCTTATAGATTGGGACACCTTAGAAACAAAAGGGAAAAAAAAAAATTCTTCAATATATTTAAAATTTTTAAATGATATTTAAATGCATAATAGCATAAAGATTGAAACTTTTTCAGTTAAATTAATGGTTTTAAAATTTCAATTACATATTATTTTTTGGTATATTAATATAACTTTTAAGCTGGTTCTTACCTTCACAAATCTGTCTTTAAGATTTTTAAGGCTTTCCAAAATTACGAACTTAAATGGTTTGGCATCTGTTAATACAATAGTTTTTGAGTTAAAATAAATATTATAATTAATGATTTTCTTTGTTTAAAAAATACTTTTCATTTGATTAGGAAAAAAAAAACAACATAAAATACTAACAAAACACAAATAAATGTTATTTTTTCATATACCTGAATAAGTTTTTAGTACAAAAAGGGCCACCTTTTCATCTAGATCAGGCTCAGCAATCAACCATTCTAAAATTGCTGATATTACTATAGTCAATTGGTCATGTGACATATCAACACGAGGTTCTAAAACACTGTGAACCATAGCACAAATAATGCTTTCATCTGCTGGCTGACTAAAAATCTGTCAGGAAAGTATAAGATAAAGTTCAAAATCATGGATTATAAAAAAAGATAGATGATAGAATAGAGTGAAGTAAATTGGTCCTTCTTTTAACAAGACTTCAGAGTAACAGAGTAAGTAATACATAATACATATCTAACTCTATCTTTAGGCATATTCTCTAGTGCTAATATGATAACAATAAAGTATTTGAAACAGTATCTATTCAAAGCATGCAAGATTTTTAAATGATGAATAAAACACAATGATAAAAAAATTTAAATTATGACTAGCCTACCTCTGAAATTTTTTTCTGAAGGTCATAAGCCTCTTCTTCATTATAACATGACTTGTGTTCAGGTTGCCTGGAAAAATTTTTAATTGACTTATTAAAAATAAAAAAAGACAAATACCAATAAAATTAAATTTATTTACATTTACACTGTTTAAGCAACAAGAGAGTAATTAACTAAGACAGTGTTCTGTGACTGTTAGAAAAAAAATCAAAACTTCATTAAAAAAACTTACCCTTTGCTAGCTATTGGGAGAGGTGAGCTTTTTATTGTTGGTTCATTCACCACCTTTGGTATGTCTGTGCAATGATTTTTTTTTTTCAAATTATAATTATGATTTAAAAATAACTGTTTTAAAATAAAAATTGTTTCAAGTTCAAGGCTTTAAAAAAAAAAATACAATGAATTTTTTAAGTCCACTAAGTGTATGTGTACTTGAAATTATTGATTTTAAATTACCAATTCAGTCTCCCTCTCTTAGATGAGACAATACTAAACCAATGAGTTTATAATTAAATTTTTAAAACATTTATATTTCCTTTAAACACACCATTTTAGGTTACCAAAGAAAACTTACCATGAAAAAATTCTTTCAGCTCATTTTCATCTGATGCATGAGGGAGGTTTTTGTGTATTTCTCTGCTGATGTCTTCACTAACATCAGTAAATGTCCTCTGTCCAATGTGCAAGTCAGACCTGCCTTTGAATTTAGTTCAATTTGTTAGCAATTATTGAACCATTAGGAGAGTAAATATTTTATGCTGTTTTTTTATTTCTTGGCCAAATATAAAAATCATATCATTCAATGTAAAAGGTGTAAGCTGCATTAAAAAATGTGTTTAACCTGTTATCATATTGCTATTTTATTAGATCAGGGATTGTTAATCAGAGATGCCTATATCCCTTGGGGGTGCAGGAGGCAGTGGAAAATACCCAGAGAATCAGATTTATTTGCATTTTCATGAGCATTTTTTAATCATGGGGTGCGGCAAATATGTTTTGCAGCCGGGGGTGTGAGAAATGTTTTGAAATCAAGAGGAGATGCGACGCTGCAAAAAGGTTAAGAACCTCTGGAGTAAATGAAAACAATGTACCCAAATGAAAACTAAATATTTTTCATAAAACTAAGGCAAAGTAAAGGTAAAATAACTACACTGAAATATTTTAAACACTTCAGTAATTAAAATCAATCACAGCTAAATATTTTTATATCTATTAAAGGTATGGTATGTAATAACAATAAGAAAGTTTAACAAAATACTATTTGAAAAAAATACATCTAGAAAAGATAAAAAAATAAATCAAACTTTTTTTTGTCTTGGCTTTTTAACAGCGAAATTATATATACACAATATTCATTTTAGTGCTAAATTATTTTACAACCTACCCCAGTCAATTATAGAGTTTTTACTGCTCCCAGGTTCACAGCCAGCTATTTCTAGCTCCAGTTTTGTTTTTTGATTGGTTTGCATTTCATATTCTATGTCCTCCTTCATCTTAGACAGTGAGATGGACTTTGTCTGCTTTAAACTCCCAAAGTCAAATTGTGGGACATTAGTCGGTGAGATGGACTTTGGATGCTTTAAATTATTGTTGTCAAATGTTGGTGAATGGGTTAGAGCCTTTTAGACATAGAAATAATAATAACTTTTTAAAACAAAGAGCATTCTACATAAAACTAGTTTAAGAATTTCATTTTTATGTCTGCATTTTTATAGAATCTAGAACTGAGTAGCAGAACATTATGTATAGAAATAATAATATTAAAATTCCATTACATAAAATGAAAATCTAGGCATACCTTTCATCTTCAAGACGTGCACTGAATTTAAGAAGTATCATAGAAGAAAAAGGAAGACTAAATGAGTAACAATGGTAAGCATTTGAAGGCAAGCTCAAAAGAATTCCAAGAGGCCTTAATATAAGTTTGCATAGTAGGTGAAAGTAAAATAAGCTTGAGAGCTCAGTAAAAATTGTGTTTGAAAATTATAGCAACCTTTATTTCACTCAGTCGCATCTTTCAATCGGAATTTTAATTTTTACTTTTTCAGTTTTTCAAAAACTTGTGTTGTTATTTCAAATACAACTTTAGAGGTTTAATACTTTTTAAGCTATAGTATTTACTTGTCAGTTTCTAACTTCCATTGCCGTACATCTGCACTTAGTGACAACAAAACCGACACTGAAGCATGAATATAGATGCTATTGCATTTCAATGTAACAATAAAATTCATGTTAGTTACTTGTACATATAGTCATTATTTTATTTTTAATTATTTTGGAAATATATTAATTTTTTTCTGTAGCCTTATTGGTCAATTGTGTCTATTGAAAATTATTCAAATTTGGAAAATTGATTCTTTTAATATTCTTGCAGATAAGCTCAACTTTGATCATCTGCCCAGGAGTTGAAGTAAATCAACATCTTCAAATCACCCCAACCAGAAAGCTAAGATCTATGTCAACATCGACATCTTTGATCATTTAAGTCCAAACTTAGGGCTCAGCCTCTTGTCAACTATATTGAACATATAACAAACTCCTAGATTATGGTTTTCTTCACGAACATCTACATACAGTTCATTATCAACAGCACTGTCTTGCTATCAACCTTTTCATTTGCTGCGTAAAAGTACATAACCTTATCAAATGATTCATGGACAGTCATTATTCTTTAATTCTTTATGAACTCAAATGTTCTATATATATATGGAAGATTCATCTATGTCAGGCCTGCACAACATACAGTCCCATTTTGCAGCCCGCGAAGAATTTGGTGAAAATTCATAACATTTTAAAATTCAAATAATATTCCTTAGCTTACTGATATATAGGATAGCAGTGAGGGAATCTGGTTACACACCAGAGCTGATGGAGGACTTTTCAACACTGCCCGCCTCCGAGCCAAGACCAAAATGACAGATGTCCTAATTCGCGAGCTACTATTTGCGGATGATGCGGCACTAACAGCACACACAGAAATTGGTTTGCAACAACTCGTGTCAAGCTTCTCCAATGCCTGCAAAGAATTTGGTCTGCAAATCAGCTTGAAAAAGACAAACATCATGGACCAAGACACTCGACCTCCACCTAACATAAAAATCGATAATGAAAACTTGGAGGTTGTGGACAGCTTCACCTACTTGGGGTCCAAGGTCTCCAATACACTGTCCATTGAAGAAGAAATTAACAGCAGAATCGGCAAGGCAGCTGCCACAATGGCTAAACTAAATAAACGGGTCTGGCAAAACACCAAGCTAACGGAGAAAACCAAACTGTGCGTCTATCGAGCTTGTGTCATCAGTACACTACTATACGGGAGCGAGACATGGACCACCTATACATCCCAAGAGCGCAAGCTTAATAGCTTCCATATGAGATGCCTGCGTCGCGTCCTTGGTATTAAATGGCAAGAAAAAGTGACTAATAGTGAGGTCCTAATGCGTGCGAATACCCAAAGCATGTTCACAATCCTTAGTGAAAGACGCCCGAGATGGCTAGGTCATGTTAAAAGAATGAGTCCCGGCCGCATTCCGAAAGACCTCCTACATGGTGAACTTGCTTCTGGAAAGAGGAAAACAGGTCGCCCACGTCTGCCATTTAAAGATGTCTGTCAAAGGGACATGAAAGCAGCCAAAATACATACAAGTGACTGGGAGTGTAAGGCAAAAGACCGATCTACGTGGCGCACAGTTGTCAAAGAGGGCGTCATGGTAGCCGAGGAGCGAAGAATGGAAGAGGCTGCAGACAGAAGAGCTAGGAGAAAGGCCAAAACATTTGGAAGCGCGGAACTCGTGTGTAAAAACTGTGGTAAAAACTGTCACTCAAGGATAGGACTGCACAGCCACTCGAGAAAATGCAACCCAACCCAACGGTGATGCACCACCGTCTCACGAGACGGAAGGATGCCGATTATTACTGATTTATAATATTACGAAATGTATTTATATATATTTATAAAATTTTATATCCTTGCCTCCATGCAGCTTTAATAGGTGTTTCACCGAAAGCATGTGTTTTTATTATGGTGTGTTTTCAATTTGAAACTTGATAACTAGCTTATAACGCCATGTCATAAACGTTCTAAAGGAAATGTTTTGCATTTGCTTAAGTTTTGACTGAAACTGGTTGAGAATATTCTTTATCATTGTTGGCACAAGGTTTTGATTTTAGTTGGCAAATAAGTTTGCTATAGACATTAGCTTTGTTAGAAAGTTGATCACTACAAATTATACACTAAGGTTTTGGAGCAGATTCATCACCAGTTTATAAAAATTGTTACTGAATATATTCACCTTTCTTTGTACTATCTTTTCACAAGTTTATCCATGTTTAAAGCTGTAATTTGATAATTATTTTTAAAAAAATCTGTATGCATACTGAGAAAAATTTCCACAAAGAAAAATTCCCATTCAAATAGACAACAAAAATAGTTTTTGATGCAAACAAAAGCAGCGACAGCTAACTTAGGTATTAATGACATTCATGTGTTAAGTGTTATGAAATTCCTACGTAAAGATCTTCCAATGTTATGACCTCCCAGTGTATTCTGACAGGCACTTCGTTGTCTCAATTTCTCAAAGATTTTTTTTGCCATATACGGCCTTTTAAGTATTATTATAACTGATGCACTCTCCGATTTCCTTCTTCTTTATTCACGAATTGCACAAATGGTATCATAGTAAACAAAGTGGTTTCCAAGGAACAGATAACAACAACTTGATGGTCGTTAAATTTGAAACTCTAAGACTCAGACGACTAACACTTCAGTCCCAGTTCATGACCGTTCTCTCTCAGTCTGATTCCTCTATCTATACTTTTTAACTCCTTTCTTACTCTCCCCACAATGAACACTCTGCATCCCCTAAATACTCAAACCCATGAACAAACCCCACGATCTCGACCTCCCAAAACGCTCTCACAATCAACAACTTTTCATAACAAACATTGACGCTCCTAAATCTAGTTCACAGCAGTAAGCATGTATGCAAAAAAACAAAACAAGCCAACAAAAATCAAATCAAACAAATGCACTATTTTAAAAATATATAGCACAATAAACACGTTTGACTGTGTCAACAAATCAGATGAAAGATCTTTGGTACACTCAGTTTTGACAGGATGGAGCTTAGTTTATTTTGGGTCGGTTTTCTTTTATGGGTTACTATTGTAAAGTTAAAATTTTTTTAAAACAACCAGCAAACAATGAGTTCAAGAACCCTGTGCCAACAAAGAACTTGAGAGTGCTACCCAAAAATTAATTTGAGGACCCTATATATCAATTATGTAAATGCTAATAAGCAAAACTTACCAGAGAATTATTCTCCAAATGTGTTAAAGACATAAAGTCAGCTGGTGAGAGTAGGAGTTGTGAGGGTTGCTCACTTATTTGACAGGTATTATTTTCGCTACTGTCAACATCTTGTTGGAGCGAAAGAGCTTCATAATCTTCATAGGGACTTTCTCTGGATACTTGGCTTATTTGTCTTTGTAACTCCTCGGATCTTTCAAGATCTGTATTTCCATTTAATATCAACCAGAGAATAGAACAAAGAATTAAGCATTAGACATTACCTAAGGAAAATAAAACTTTTAATGTAAAAAAAACCAAAACATTGTCCAAACATTAAAAAAATTAATTACCGGTATATGTGTTTACAATTTGTTCAGTTTTGAAAAATTATAATTTTACTGCTATTTATTTTCTTGTGGTCCCTGAAATAGCTAAAAATAGGTAGTAGCTATTTTTACCATGACACAAAGTTTGATCCTTATTTGAAATTCTATTGTACATTGTATACACTTCCATTAATTATTATTTTTTTAATATTACAATTCATATCAATACAAGATAAACCGTACCGTTTTCCACTTCCTCTAGGCTTAACACCAGTGGGTGGTCAGATCCTGTTGCCTGTAAATAAATTCAATATTTTGTAACCAATCTTTTCTTCAACATTTTGTTCAATTAGTTATTGGAGTCAATTTAATGTTTTTTTTACTATAATACTCACCGAGCCTAACTCTTCTGAAATCATTTTATTGGTAAGTGATATCCAGTTCTCATTGTCTGATCTAAAGGGATAACAAAAATAAGATGAGTGTAAAAACAATATTGAAATAAGCTTTCCAAAATCATGAAAAAAAATTAAAACCAAATATAAACTTGATTAAAAAAGTGTCTACTTCTTTTTGGGCGGTAAGCTATCCATAAATAAGATATCATACATAAGATAGAATTACTCTATGAGCCCTTTTATTTAACTTTGAAAGCATCCAAGCAAAAAAGTTGTAAATTCTCAGTTACCCGAAAATGTAGAGAAAACATTGGAAAATAACACTATTTTTTATACTTTTTATGTAACAAATAACTTACTTTAAATAAATGAAAACTTCTCCGTAAGCTTCAGCCTCATCATATCCTAACACTGATACAACAACATCTTTAAATAGAACTTGGTTCTCAAAGTAAGTTATTGCTCTGGTTGTCCAACTGCGGGATAACTAATGATCAATAGATAAACAAATAATTACAGAAATAAAAATAATACTTTATTAAAAGATTTTGCATTATATTTTAAAACATTGTATTTAGATTTTTGTATGTTAGTCTGGTATTTATGTCATTATTAGAACATTTGTTTTATTCTATTTCAGAAATATTGGTTTTTAAATTGATGTTGTTTATGGTAAAAGTGAAACTGAAGTAATATTTAATATCTATTTTGTACAAGGAAAATAATAATTTAAAAAATAAAAACACGCCTTACATGCATTTTTTATCAGATTCACTTAAGGAAGAAATAGAGGGGAATGAAGCCTTACCGGTGTGATGCCTGCTAAACCCACCCTCCTAGCTAGAGCAGGCAAGAAATCAAATAGCTTCTGGTTTATTGACTGAACTTGATCACGTTTCACTATCTCTGTGTGCCCCAGATCAATAAAGAAAACATCCACAGTATTCTGATTGCTAAAGCAGAGAATCAATTGATAACTGTATTATGTTGTGAATATACTTATAGAGTAACATAGAGTATTTAAAAAGACAAAACAAATAATGAAATAAGTTTCATTAACAAATTTCTTCAATATTAGTTGAGCTTTGTTTAACAATATTTATTCTGGTAACCTGTGTCTCAACTTACATTCTGGTAACCTGTGCTCTCTGCCAGTGTTGAAGATCTGATGAAATGACCATGACCTTATCTCCTTGGGAGATATTTTGTTCATTGACCTCATCTTTTGCAATTTCGTTCATAAACTGGTCAAGTGTTTCTTCGTATTGACTGAATTCTTTAAAATCCATGGCTAAATAATAACAACAAAATCATATTTATAAATGAAAAACATATAATAAACACATAAATGATTATTAACATTGAAAAATAATTGAGAAAATTCACTTATTTATTTCTTCCTTGGAAATTATGAAAAAATAACTGAAGCATTATGGATGAGTCATGTTTATTTATACCTATATTCATTATCTTGAGAGAGTACTTTTTTCTTTACCTACTATCCATAATGTAACAATTAAGATTATTGGTGCATTTATATTCATAAACATGCTTGATGATTTGTTTCTAGTAAAATTATACTGCAAAAACTATGCATCGAAAATTGCATCTTAAATGTGTATAATAATTTTATTTATTAGAAATAACTCTTACATGTTCCTATTCGTATCCAGAAGCTACTTGGATCTATGACATGAGTAACATAGCCCCTGTAAAGTATTGCCATGATTTTTTAGGAAAACTGGAGATAAAAATTAAAATACAAACATTTCAACTGCATCAATGGCTTCAACAGTTACAATTTTAAACATTGCAATTATTGAATTTTATAGTTTGAAGACAAAGTCCTAGGGATATCTTTTAATTTTAAAATATCAACAGTGGCTCCAACTACTAAGAAAGTCTGATATTGCATATTACAGACGTGGGCAAATGTGGCTCTTGTGTGGCTTTTGGTCATGTGAACTGTGGGTACAGTTAGACAATCCAATTTATTGCCTAAAAAATAGCTTTATTAAATTTGCCACTGAAATCACATTGTGAACAATTTTTTTGGTAAAATCACAGCAAGTGAGAAGGTTTTTTATGCTTTTTTTTATTGTACTACTTAATATCTGTTCAGACTCCTGATTTTATGATATAAAAGTAAATAACAATTGAATATATTTAATTTTCTGTCCCTAAAGATATGGTGTGGAACATAAAAAATATCAACAAGTGGCTCCTATTAATAGTTTTGAAAGTCACATCAAGCAGGTATCCTCAGAACATTGGTTATCTGAAATGCACTCTTTTTTTTTTGAAAATTATTATTATATACAACACAAACGGAAAGTAGAATTTTCATACTACACTGCGAAATAATTCTGAACCCACAATCCAGGTAGAATCTAAATATGTATGATACAGCAGATACAGGCAGTGACCAGACTAGGATACAGTGATAAACAAACTTTTTAATTAATCTATTTCATTGAATACATGGCTGCAAAGACAAAATAACCTAGGATTTTATTCTAAGTGCCAATCATCTATTTTTTAAAAAGATCTCTTTTCACAAAAATGAAATTCCAGTCAATAACAGTTATTTTACTCAATCAGCTTTTCCTGATATACCACTGCTGATAAATGCTGTACACAAAAGTACCATATATATATAGTTTAAGTATATTTAAATATATTGCATTTAATGCAAAAACTTCTTTAACACAACATTTAAGTGAGAGTGGTCGTTTATATGAAACAGTTAGTTTGGATAATAGACAAATACTATACGTCTATGATTTAAAAAAACTTCGACTTTAAGGAAAGCAAATTTAAAAAAAATTGTTGTACCCAATAACTCCTTTGGTTATGGAGAGAGATTTAATTAAAGATATTCCGAAAATTAAAGTGGGTCTCAGTTTTTTTGAGTCAGACTGTAATGTGTGATAATGTCGCACGATCATCTTATTTAACCTCTAGTGATAACTAAAACACTGACTAAAAGAATGTATAGGCCCCTACACAGTAGACTATTAGATGAGTTGAAGAATTTAATGACTTCGCCAAGGATTTACTCAATTGTTGAATTTACTTTCTGTGTTGATAACCAGCTTTATTTCTACTATTCTTATACAAAATAAAATGAATTTAAAACGACTGATAATAATGTGAATTTAAAAGTCCAACTTATAATAATATATATGAATATATAGTTATAATATAGGCCTAAGTATTAAACACTAACTAATACAACTAAACTACTACTGCCATGAACTATACTGTCTGTGCTATACAATGCACATCATGAAATTAATAATATTCTAATAAAATTACATTTTTTCTTTCAGAATTACTTAAGACTAAGTTTGAGGGTCGCTACAAGCTACATTTTTATTTTACAAGGAATAAGCAATTTACTTAGGTCAAGAAGGTATCTATGTTCTTGCTTTGAACATTGTACTAAAGTTTTTCTCTCCAAAAATAAGGCCTACCTGGAAAGTAAGCCCCATCATGTTTTTTAGGATAATAATATAAGTCATAATACAAGCCCTACCTAAAAATAAGCCCCATATGGACACCTACCAATATCTAAACATAATTCTAGACTGGTCAAATGTTCAATGGAAGGACAGACACATCACAACAGTCACACAACACATTCTCTACCTTTCCCCTCCCCATTTTACCGGAGGTGAGTTTTTTACACAGCAGCCGCCTAGATTGCCATGAACAGTGTCATGGCAACCAAGATGGCAGCTGTGGGAAACACCATGGCGCAGACAGCCTGAATTTACCAACAAATTATGCATTAATATTATATTATTGAAAACTAGAGTAAATGACCCGATGTGATCGGGATAATAATGGAAGGTCCTTTGCAATAATTTCTAACTGCTATTGCATTCCAATTCCTAACTTTTAAAATGTATTGATATTTACGTTTCTAACATCATTAAGTTTTGAGAAATATTTATCTGCTATATAGGCCTATGAGACGCGTACCCCACACCATTTCACGCTTCTAAACTAAGTTTCCCGCTCTAAACATGACCTTAAATTACCCAGTCTAAATTATCACTAATTATATAACTTTTACCACTAAAGAAGTTAATTGAGGGACACTTACTACGCTGGAGAAATATTTTAGATCTACCCCTTTTCGTACACTTGAATTACAACTTTTTTTCTCTCAAAATTAAAAAAAAACATAATCTTAAATTTACAACAAAAACTCTATATATGATATAAATATATTTTGTATTACAGGAATTTGATATCATCATGAAAAATTTTAACACATTTTTGCCTTTTTAAAAAAAATTATACATTATTAGAAAATCGTAAAACAGAATTCTTTTATCTAAGTAGAATCGCAACCATTTTTCACACCTATATCAGATTTGACTGTCTTTTAAAAAATTAAATTGTTAATCTCATAAAAATACACACATCTTTACTTTTTGCAAAGTAACAACAAAAATATTTTTTTATTTTTTTTTTAAAAATATTAATCCATCTTCATTTGTCAAAATTTAATTTTCAAGTGTGTAAAATGATTGAGTTTTGATATTTATGGATTTACTTATATATAAATGTACCCACAATTTGTTAACGCCATTGATTTCCTTAATTGATAAACATATGTTTATTTGTAAAAAGAGAATTTAACATCCCTTTTTTCACAAATGTAATACCATAGGATTTAAATATATTACCATCCACGTAAAAATGTACACATCCTATTTCCTACCGCCGATATGTATGTACGCAAGAAGGTTAATTATTTATCAAAATCATTCCTTCATTTTGAGACGTATTTTGTGCTGCCTTGGACAAAATGAACGTACACATATTTATAAAAAGAGAATGTAGCATCCCTTTTTTCACAAATGTAATACCATAGGATTTAAATATATTGCCATCCACGTAAAAATGTACACATCCTATTTCCTACCACCGAAATGTATGTACCCAAGAAGATTAATTATTTATCAAATTCATTCCTTTATTTTGAGACATATCTTGTGCTGCTTGGGGCAAAGTGACCAACCCCTCCCCCACCCAGATTTAAATAAATTTAGAAAATCTTCCACCGAATTGTAGTCACTTCCATATCCAAACTAACATATTTTGCACTTCATATGGTTCGTGAATGCTATTTAGCTATGAAATTACGCTGTACTGATTGACTAAAACCACATTTTCTTATTAGAATTATATTTAAAGGTTAGTTTTTATTACATTATAAATTTAATAAAAGTATATCTTTGGAATCAAAAAAGGCAAAACTTTTTAAATGTAAAAATATACAAAGCAAAAATGTGTGTGTGTTTTATTAACAATTATAAAAGCAATCAATTTTATTTATTAATTTTACTTTTAAGAAGGGCAAATACATTATATGTTTTGCCATGCGCGGTTATTAAATCTAAAGAAACCTAAGAGTTTTGGCGAAATAGGGTATTGGTTATGACTCATTTGTGTGATATTTAGAACAAATTAATTTTAATTGTATTTCACAATATTAACAACGCACTAACAGATGCATTAAAAATGACTGATGCTTGGGTTTCCCGATAAATGTGGTTACGGTGAAATTCTTTGATCATGATTTTTTTAATTTTTTTATTTTTGCATAACTTTCAAACACATATAAAATGCTTAGTTCCTTAGTTGATACTTTAGATGTATTTGTAATTTATAATAATAATATTTAAACTTACTAAAATAAAAGCGGTTTTAAAATATTTTTTGCGCATTTAAATTTATTCGATTTCCGTAAAATAATAGAAAATAACTATGATTGTATTTAGTATTCCGAACGTACTTAAATCGTATCACCCCTTTGGCATTATGTCACTCTAGCTCATTCTTATATATATATAAAAGAAAAAAAAATTAATAGCCTAGCCCTAATACTAATTAATTAATGAATGAGTGAATGATTAGTAAGATGCACTAACTAAGTTGCTACGCTAACTTAGACTAATTATTAAAAACTTAAACTTTTAATAGGTTATGCCATTAAAATAAACGAAGTGGATGCCAAGACCGCGGCGGTGTACCTAGCGAAACCATCGGCTTTGGCCTGCGTAAAACGCGGACCTGTACCTAGCGAAATCGTGGACTTTGGCCTGGGTGCACCGTGGCAAAAATGTACCATTGGCCTGGTTTTAAGATATGCCTGTTGGAGAACATATTTATGGTTAAGTAGTAGAGTGGACGCTTGGCGATATTATATTTTGAGATCAATTCCCAGTAGGGAATCAAGTTTTTTTTTCTTCTCATTTTAATTAAAAATATTTTATATTTAAATTATCATTTTCATTTGCAACAGTAGTTTCATGAGTAGTTTTAAAATATTTTCTGAAAGTTTCTCGTGCACATTTATAGTGTATGTAACATGTATAAGAGAAACATTTTGAATACTAAGTGATATTTTATTGTATTTCAACATTCTTCGTGTAGTTGAATATTTTCATTTTACTTTTATGAACACCCAAAGAAAATATCAGTATATCAATAGTATCATATGAATATTAATGTACACGGTCGTGTACAATGTACAAAATGTACACACAATATCAACAGTTCATTCACAACCCTCAGTCTCACAGCAAATCTTTTGAAAACACCACGATTTTAGAAACTTACGGCGCGGTAGCAAACTGTATAGCAAAGCAGATCTGCGTTTTCCCTGTTTATGACGGAATTTTTTTCCAAAATGGCATGGCATGTGCTATTCTCAGGGTAAAACATGACGTTTTCTCACAGAAACCATTGCACAATGCGCTTGGGACAGGATTTGGGCTAATTCAAAGTTTTTTATTTGTTGTTTTTTGTTAAGAAATCGATCCTTGCCGGGGGTGGGGGGGGTGGGGGGGGGGTGGAGGTGAATTATGGGCAGAGGCTTAACCAAAAAGGGGACCTACCCAAATCACGGCTCTGGATAGAGGTTGTCCTCAAAGGACGTCCGCATAACAAACTTACCTTTTGCACCCCCCCAACGCGGAGGGGGGGGGGGGTCTGATGTCCGCCGGCACTTTTTACTAATGTGTGATGCCAATGTAAAAATAATTCAATGATATTTAATTATTGTTAAAAGACATTTGACAGTGTTTCTTATTGATCATTATACTGTTGTTTTTTGTTGACAATCGCTTACAATGTTATAATTATAATGCCCCAACCCTAAAAAAAAAAAACTGGGGGGGGGGGACGACTAAATTTCAAATTAGCTACCCTTTTTATGCCTATTAAGATTCACAATCATAGGATAAAACTTACAACAGTTAATAAATATATTTTTATTTCAATATATTGGGGGGTGGGGGATAAAGTGGCTAACTTTAAACATAAATCATGGTTTAACATTACACCCCCAGCCCCTTCCTTTCCAATTTAATAAGAAATGATCTAAGTACTTTGCCACACAAGCGTGGAACTTACTCAATATCTTCCTCCCAAGGAACTAAACGATTTTTAAATAAATAGTTTTCAGTTTTAACAAGAGTATATCTACAAGTACCAGTTAGGCCAAAAAGTTAAAGACTCGCAAAGACCATGGTTTTGCTACTTTAAATCGATGCGGTGTACGCAGGCCACAGACAATGATTTAGCTAGGTACACCGCGGCGGTGTATGCAGGCAAATGTAAATAGTTTCATTAGGTACAACGCCTCGGTGTATGATGTAGTGCCGGCCTAAAATAAAATAGGCATTTTTATAATCTATCTCTAAAATCTTTTACTATTATATTAATAATTGACTTTATTTATTATTACCAGAGTAACTACTACTACTACTAGTAACAGCTAACAGCCTAGGCCTAACACTAAAAACACCAGGCAGACGATAATTAAACAGTTACAGGCGCCTTGATGATTGACAATTTTTTTAAAATTTAAAGTAAAAAGGCAAGGCAATAATCAATAATAAGGTCTAATAATACTAATAATAGTTAGTAATAGTTAAATAGAACTAGAAACTGAAACTATGAGTATGAGTAAGAAAGTGAAAGGAACCGCGGGTTAAGTTCGGTGACAGTAAAAGAAAAAGTTGAGCATTTCGGTAATAAAACAAAAGTATCTGAATTAAATTCACTCAGAATTTGATTATTTTGTAACACTAGTGGCTAACAAACTAGCCTATGCCTATTACTTATTAGTAGGAGTCTCTTTTTCTCCGTTGATCCGAGAATTCTCCACAGTTTGTTACGACTGACGTCCCTTTAAACAATAAACCAGTGATATAAAACTCAGAACTAATTTATAGCTGAAACAATTTTAAGACAAATTGCTCAAATCAATATTAATATTTACAAGAATTATTAATACATTTTAGGTTACATGTAAGTCAATTAATCAAGTCCTATCATATGTATATATATTCTAGCCAATATATCCGGCAATGGCGTAGCTAGGGTAAACCCATGGTCCGTCCCCCCCCCCGACCTCCAGGGTGATTTCTTCATGTTAAAGTAAATCTACAGTATGCCGGGTAACAATGGCAACCAAAAACAAAAACATAACAACAACAACAACAATAAATTCAATAAATTAATTGAAGGTCAGGTGGTAAATGTAGTTAAGAACCGTAAGAACGTTAACTTACCGGTTGAGTTATAGTTACTGGTATTTTTACATTAAATTTACTTTATTTTTGAAATTGTCCTTTCCTGATCTTCAAAGCTGCAAGGCTGTCAATTACTTGATCAAAATCAATATTCTTCGCCATATCAATTTCAATTGCTAGTAGAGCCAGATCAGAAAGCATTAACTGTCCTATGGTGGATCGTAAATAGTTCTTGATAAGCCTTAGTTTTGAAAAGCTCCGCTCACATGAAGCCACAGATCGTAAGACATATTTGAAGGCTTAGCGAGAGTATTTGAAAAGATTCTAGGAAGTCCCATTCAGCTATAAATTTCAAAGCATCAAATACTAGCCAGTCCATGACTTTGTGAATTTCAATATCAGCTGCCTTTAGATGTCTCCCAAGCCTTGGTATTTCTTTTATAAGCCAATATACCCGGCGCTGCCCAGGATTGCATTCAGAAAAACAACTACACCCTTTTAATAAACATCAAAATTAAGCGCACTGTAAAAATAAAAGAACAAGAGCACCATTGTCATACAAACAAAATAATTTGTCTCCTATCAAAAAAACGTTAATAATAACTTTTGTAAACCTTTCGTTCCCCGATGGGATCCCGACCCCATTTGGATCCAGGTCTCGCTTGGATCCTAATCCTGGCTGGATCATGATCCCGGTAGGATAACGATCCTAGTGGGATCCCGATCCCGTCAAGATCCAGATCCAGTCGGGAGCCCGTGTCCCGGTGGGATCACGATCTTGGTTGGATAATAATTCCGATATGATCACGTTTCCCAGAGGATTCTGATAATTTTTGGGATCCCAATATTGTTTGAATGATAATCCCGGTGGGATCCCAATCCCGGTGGTCTCTAGTCCCGTTTGTAGCATGATCTTGGTAGGATTACAATCCGCGTGGATCCCAAACCTTGTGTGTTCCCGATCCCGTCCGGATCCTGTTTCGCGGTGCGATCCTGACACCGGTTTGATCATAATCCCGGTGGGATCCCGATTCCAGTGGAACTCCGATACCGGTGGTATCATAATCCCTTTGTGAATCTGATACTGGTGGGATTCCTGTTCGGGTGGAATCCCAATACCGGTGGAATTCCGATCCCGGTGGTTTCCCGATCGTGGTGGGTCCAGTTTTCCGTTGGGATCCCGTTAACGGTGGGGGTCCTGATCCCGTTAGGACCCCGTTCTCTGTGGATCCATTTTCCCGGTGGGATCCTCTACTCTGATATAATCCCTTTTGGCAATAGGATTTCTATTTTATCCCGTTACTCGATGGTATCGCGTTACTGGTGGGTCTCAGTTTACTCGTTCCTCTGTAGGATCCTGGGGGGGGGAGGGGGTTCATGTTTCCAGTGGGATTATGTTCAATGTAGATTATAAAGGGTATGTTTAAAGACATTCCCATGAAAGTAGAGAAATGAAAAGTACTAAGGGGTCGTTCAACATAACGTCACACTAAAAATGACCCTTTTACACGCCCTCCCCCCTGTCACGATGTATCACAATAGTGTCACGTCAAATCTAAAATAATTCAAAGCATACATAGAATTTTCATAACTAAATAAGATTTTATTTTATTCTTTAAAATTTTCTCATAATGGATTCAGATCTAGCATTATTAGAAAACTGAGTTTCATAGTACCTATAATACCTGAGGCAATGTCGACCTCACATTAGTGTTTTTAAAATTAATTAAATAAAGATTTATGCAAAATTAGAAAATTTAGATTAAAAATAAAACGTGACGTCACAAATTCTAGACCCGCCTTCCCCCCACCCCTTTTGCATGAAGTAATTTGCGAACGACCCCTGAACTAACATTTCAATAAGTTTTTAGAGGCCATTATATATCCCCCGTAGATTGCGATCCCATCGGGTAACGGGATCTTATCGGAATCCTATCGGGAAACAGGATACCATCTGTCAAGAGGATCCAATGGGGAAAATGTATCCCACCAGAAAACGGGATCGCATCGGTATCGGCATCCACCGTGATCAGTATCCCACGGAAAACTCGATCCTATCGGAAAACGGGATCCTACCGGGATCGGGATACTTACGGGATCGGAAACCTACCGGTATCGGGATCCCACCGGAATCGGGATAGCGATAGGAATCCCACCGGGAAACGATATCCCACTGGAAAACGGGATCCCGATGGGATCGGCAAGGATGGGGATACCGGGATCGGGATCCTACCGGGATCAGGAAGCAATCGGGATCGTGAACCGTCCGGGAAACGGGATACATCTTGAAATGGGATCCAGTTGGGATCCCATAGGGATCGGGGTCCTATCATGATCGGGATCCTATCATGATCGGGATCCTATCATGATCGGGATCCTATCATGATCGGGATCCTATCCGGGAACGAAAGGTTTAAAAAAGCTATTATATATATTTTTTATAGGAGACAAAATTAAATTAATTGCTTAATTCTTTTCTTTAATATAGCTGTTTTTTTTTCTTTTTAAGTTTGCGCTTAATTTCGATATTAATTAAAAGGCTGTAGAAGTAGTTACATTTTATGGGAGTCACTATAATTGTTAATGTATTATTTCATTGTTGGCATGTTCAAGTTTTCAAGCCTGGACAATGAAACGTAATTTTTAATTATGCAGCCGTGAGGTCAGATCATTCAAGATATCCTTATCTTCCCAGCTTGACCAAACTGAACTTGTTGTGGAATCATCGAATTCCTTGATTTTGAAGGTAATGACTCATGTAGACTACCTAACAACTTATTGAATTGTTTTTCCAATATTATCAAACTTATCTTTTAAGAGTTTTGAACTAAGAAAGTCACTCCGTATATTATCTAACCTTGAATTTAAAAAAAATGTATAGTCTTTGACTAATGACCAATAATGTGTTTAATTGTGTTTCAATTCTGTCTCTTTGTTATTGAATTCAATCTGTTCCATAAAGAGGGTGGAACAAGATTGCCTTTGGGGTCGTTCGCAAATTACGTCATGCAAAAGATGACCTTGTCACAAGGTGTCACAAATCCTTTACCCCCCCCCACCCCCACACACACACTTAGTGTCACGTCACACCTAAAAAATTTAAAAACATACATAAAATGTTCATTACTAATCTAAGATTTTATTCTTTAATATTATCCCATAATGGAATAAGATGTAGTATTATTAGAAAACTGTGACGTAAAACAATGAAGTACTCCTCGTGCAGAAAGTAAAATGGCCACAACAGTTTTTGCGTCATTTTTCGATATGCGCAGAAGTTGTGCGCGACTGAGTTTCACGATACCTATAATACCAGAGGCTATTTCGACCCCAAATTAATGTTTTTAAAATTAATTGAATAAAGATTTTTCAAAATTAGAAAATTTTAGATTAAAAAAAATAATAATAAATTATGACATCATACATTTTGACACCCTCCCCTGTCACAAGTGTCACAAATTCTTGACATCCCCCCCACCCCTTGAGTGTGACGTAATTTGCGAACGATTCCTTTACCTTTTTAAAAACTATATGTCATACTGGAAGTCTAAAAGTGTCATGGAACATCTGTTTATTTTGTTGTTAGCTACCCTCTTTTATTTTTGAATCATATCTTTGATCATTTTGCAGTGAATTTTTTTTTCTTTGTATCTATTATCTCTAAATTTTCTATATGGTTGCCTATTCCTATAACTGATTTATCTGATGGGACTGGCGTTAGGTGATTGTGTCTGTTAGAGATAGTTTCTATCCTGTCTCAATTCTCTTCTCACCAATCTGTATTGATGCTTCCTGTGTCATGGTATTCAACAGAGGAAGCATGAATTATTGAAGAAATAATTGTCATTTTGTCTATCTGGACGATTCCTTTGCCATCGTGATGGCAAACTCTGAAATCTGCGATTTTTTTCTTTTTGTGCATGTCTTTTTTTATCATTATTGTTATGTTTCCATGTCTTCATCATTGCAATTTTTTGATCATTATTGTTATGTTTCCATGTCTTCATCATTGCAATTGTTTCTCGTCTATTTTCCAGTTATTCATTGAGATGTGCACCTTTCCCGGTGGACTCTAATATGAAATATTATAGTGACCGTAAATTATAGTATTGGGATCTATTTAATCTGATTTAATGAAATATTCGTTTGTATCTGCTTCTGCCTTTCCATAATATTTTAATTAAAATTTTTATGATATACTTAGAGAACTAATAATGATTAGTCGGTTGCTCGAAAGCTTGCATAACATAACATTATGCCATCCCAAGTGTTTTCACTATAATTTAGGCTCTGCTAAATTCCATAAAATTGTGTTAAGTAACTTTGAATGGCTTAATTTTATTTAAAATCTCGATATTTGGGTCTATATCGTTTTTCAACTGTAGTTGTTCAATCTCTTTTTGTGCATTTCTGTTAGCAAGAGGTGCTTCTCTTTCCTCATATTAGTTTTTTTTACGTTTATCTCATTTAATTTGTCTAATTCCTTCTTTACAAAGTCTTCTCTTTTTTCTTATTCAATACATATCTGTTCTTGAACTCTCAATAACTCCACATGTTATTGATATTGTTACTAAAAGTTAGTTCATTTTGAACAGTTAACAGTATGTAATAGTCTTAATTGACTTATTAT